TCACTGCTGTTAGACGCCAAAAGGACATTCCCACATGCCAAAGAAACCCCAAACCCCTTCCTACCCCACCCCGTTCCCCCCAGCACCCTCTCTCCCAGCCCTCAGCCTGGTGCCGGCAGCACGTCCGGGGATGCGCCCTGTCCTCCCACCAAAGCCCCCAGCCGCCCTCTGCGCTGGCAGGGCTGCCCTCCCAGAGATATTCTCACTGATGGCTCTGGCACAAAAAAAAAGCAGGGGGGTCTCCCCAGCTCCAGCTGATGCAAGACCCTCCCGCGTCTGCCAGGGGAGGTCAGCTGGGGGCTAAAGGGGCAGGCAAACCCCACATTGCTGCGCTTTCTCTTTTCCCCCCTCTCAAAAATCAAGCCGTGAGCTCAGCATTCAGGAGGTGAGCGCCCGCACAGAGATAATCGCAGGGGTCTTTCCGCTTGTCTCCTGCTGCTGAGCGTCACTTCGGACGGCTCCTTTTCTGACCCCCGCACCCTCGCAGCAGGGAGGGGAGAAACTTCTTGGCTGGCTGGAGGCAGAGACAAGGTTGTCAGGTCACCAAATTCTGCAGTTCAGGCCCTAAAAATCCCTTCCTTTCCCCCCACTTCAGAACAAGGAGACTCTCACTCTGCAGCCACTCAGTCTGTGCCACTTCTTCTCCACCCTCACCCCATCTCCCCGTTGCCCACGCGTGCACCCCTCTTTCCAGTGCGCCCCTTTCTCGGGGGTAGGCGTGGAGGACGGCTAATGCCCCTCGCCGAGCCGCCCTGAGCGACGTGGCCGCCCTGGAACGAGCTGCCCCCCACGCTGCCCCGCGTGCAAACTGCCCCTCACAGAAGCGCCTTTGTGCCTTGGCGTGGAGCCGAGATGCTCGGGGGCTGAGGTCACCGGAGGGACCCTCACAGGACCCCCCTTGTTCTCCAGGACAGGAGGGGGTGTGCGACGAGGGGAGATGCCGGGCCGTGCCCGCAAGGCTCCGCTCCCACGCAGCTCGCCTGGCTGCTTCGGGCAGGGAGCTCTGCAGAGTGGAATCAAGAGGCTCCGGTGTGCACGCGTGCTGTACTTGGGAGTGCCACCCGCGGTCAGGCCATCGAGGCGGCGGGCAAGCCCGTCTCCCCCCGCCTGCGGCAAGGGGACCCTGGCTCTCAGGACGAGCTCCCCCCGCCCTCCGCTTCCCAGACCATAACACAAGCTCCAGACCAAAGATCCACATCCGTGGAATATCCTTTCTGCCTCCACTCTGTATCCCATGCACTTATTGCCCTTATTAAAGCAGTTTTGATACTAACTTCTCCTCTGGTGCCTCCCCTCAGCTGCAGTGACCTTATTATTTTCCTTGCTATGTCTGCCAGTGCCGCAGCCACAAAATCCCATCCTCTCCACTCTCAGCAGGATTTTCCAGCACCTCTGGGATCCCTGGATTAACTAGCCAGGTACTTCACCGCTCACCGTGACTAACACACAAAGCAACCTCCTATCCACCCGGCCCCGCGTAGCACACAGGAGGGTACAAAGCTTCCTCTCCAGCCCGGCAATTCATTTATGGCCTGAAGCAGATCGGTGCCCTTCCCAAAGCTGGCTTGGCTACAGCCCTTCCAGCCCATCAGACGTCCTCTGTCTGTGCGCTCAGGCAGCAGCAAGCCCGGCAGTTGGGCAGCAAGGAAGTGGAGAGAGAAGGCAGGGGTGCTGCCACCTTGCCTTGGACCGGGCTGTCTTTAAGATGCTTTTCTCCTCCCACCCAGCCTGAAGTGCCCCGATGTTTGCCGTCACACATCGGTCTCACTTAAGGCTGGCAAGACACTTTATAATCAGAGCAGCAGCATCTGATAATCGACACTAATTGCCTGTAGTCCCGTGCGAGGGACACAGACTGGGAAGTGCTGAGCCACATAACCCAGCCCAAATGTCATCCTCGCTCCCCACTGCCTTCCCCTGCCCCACTTTCACTGAGTAGGATTCGGTGTGGAAATCTCAGAGTAATGGGTAACCAGGCTGGAATGTGCCAGCAGATAAGTGTGGTGAGATAAGGGGGAAAGTCGGAGGAGACAACTTCTTATCACTGGCAGGAATTCCGGCTCAGGGGCACACCTGCGCTGCCTTCCCGTGCCACCGCTTCGGGTGGTACCACTCCCGCGGGAGGGCAGGGCAGCCCTTCCTCCTGCGAGAGCAGCCAAGAGGAACCTGTCAAACCCACACCCTGAGGCTCCCAAACCTAACAGTTATGCGCTTTTGTGGCACCAAATGCCACGTCGAATGCCACATTGCTCAGGTCCACGCTTTTCTTCCTCACTCCTTCCCAAAAACTGCAGGTGCAGGAAGAAATGGTGCATTGTGAAGACATTACACAACAGTTCCCAGAGCAATCACATAGTGTCCTCCTCCTCCTCCTGAGCCACACCTACTTTGCCCGACCTACTATCCCTTCAACCCCACATCCTTGTCTGACCTGGAAAAGCACCTGGCGTTATCTGGAAGCTGTTTCCATCCAACAAGGGTTCTTTTCCTGTTGGTGGAAAAACCTTGGGCTTTGTCGGTGTCTCGCACAGAGCCACAGAGCCAGAGATCTCACAGACACCAAAGCAGCTGGAGCAAGTCTTCCACTGCTTGGGTTTTTATTAGAGCTAGGAAGCGGCGCCCATCAATCCAGCTTGAAGGAGGTGACCCTGAAGCCTCCCTTGACGCTCATGTAGCTGATCTTATCATAGGAGTGCCTATTGGGGAAATGCACTTCATGCCCATCTGGTAGTTTCACTCGGAATTTGTCTTCCAACATTTCAATGATGATCTGGGAGAAAAGAGGGAAGGACGGACAGGAATTGGGGACAAGGAGGAGATTAGGAGGAGAGCATCCAGGCAAGAGGCCTCACTGTTACATGTGAGGGTCAGACCTGGTCCCTACAGCCTTAAGCAAGGTGCTAGGCCTTGGGCCGCGGGCGATGCAGTTGATACCAAGGGTGTGAGCTGGTATCTAGACTATGACCTGGGGACAGGATCTCTCCTGGGTCTGTTTCAGCTACTGAGGTTCTAACTGCTCAGAGCAGCTAAACCCAAGTGTGTCTTTATACACCATGTGGCTTAGAACTGCTCTGAACGGGGCAGAATAAACCTGACACCCCAATACCCTCACCGGGACCCGGAAAAAGGAGCTTTGCTGATAAACACACACAAGCAGACAGGACGAGAACGCATCACTGATCATTGCAAATTAAAGAGATTGTTCCCCAAAGCCGTCACCTCACCACCCCTTCCCAAAGAGCTAGCCATGACTGAAGCTTCCTCTCCATAGCAATAGGAACAGGACTGCTCCTAAATGGAGCCCTGTTAATGTCTTGGGACATCAGATGGGGTGAGACAGCAATGAGTACAGCATCCCCAACAGGAGGAGAGGGAGGACAGACTGGCAGCATGGATCCAGGAGCAGTGAGGACAGAAGAGCTGAAGGAGAGGTTTTCAGACATTACTTCAGACTCTGGGTTGCCTTAAAGCCTGTGTTTGCACAGGAGAGAATTAGGGAGAGAAAGAAGGTAGAAAGCAGCAAGATTCTGCTTCCTAGAGACACCCTTTACCTTCATACGTGCCCCTGCTGCACCCACCTGCTGGGCAGGTATGGGGGCAGGAAGCACTTACAAAGCCCGAGACAGACAGGCCTCACGCAAAGTTCCCAGAGGAAGCGCTGGGGTTTTGAAGGAGGAGCAGAAATGGCAATCAGGACCAAAAACCCAGAGGATGAGGGGCTGTTGGGAGGGAGCAGGAGGCATTGGACAGGGCTGGGAGGACTAGGGTATGGGAATCTGCTAACCAGGATCTTATCACCACCACACACAAACTCCACAACCCCATGACAGCACAGATCCCTCACCTTGGTAGTGGAGCCCACCACCACCACACACAAACTCCAAAACCCCATGCCAGCACAGACCCCTCACCTTGGTAGTGGAGCCCTTGGAGAAGCAGAGGTGCTTATCACGATGCTCTGCCTGCCAGGCCTTGGAGCGCCTGGAGTTGCAGACGATGACAGACTCATTGAAGCGGGGATTGAAGTGAAATGCCAGGTCCGAGGAGCTGCTGCCGAGATTGATGCTGAACCTGTGGGTGAACAGGAGGAAGGTCAGCCACACAAGCAGGACAGGATCTTGGAAGATCTGAGATCCAACACACAGCTCTGCACCCAATCCCTCCATCAGCGTTGCAGATGCTCAGAGCCTCCAATTTCCTCATTCTGCTCAGGAACCGGGGGAGTCTGCACAGTGGTGGCTTAGGGGCTCCTCTAACACTGAGCTGTGCTCACGCTTTTTGTACCTGTTGACCTTGGAAAACCACCTCCCTCTGCAGCCCACCTTCAGTCCTGGCAAGCAGAGGTGGCTTCTTTGTACCTACCCATCAGCATCATCAGATATCTTGCCCTTGACCTTCAGGGTATCCCCAGTCTTCATATCCAGGTTGAAGATTTCAAATTTTTCCTAAGGGAGAGAGAAAAATAGTCTGTGGGGCTCCTTCAGCCTTTCCTTCCCTGACACTGCAAGTGAGAGGGTGCTGCTTGGAGAAGGTCCCCCAGTCAGAAGAACACCTGCTGCTCTCAGCTTGTGTTCCTCTCATGCCCAAAAACCCTCCGTGCTGGGGGTCTTGCATGGGCTTCTATTCGGTAAGCCAGGAGTGGGCTGAGTGAAGCCAGCAAGCGAGAAAAGACATCAGAGAGAGAGGAGACGACAACAGGCTTGTCCTCACCAGAGGGAAAGGAGAGCATGACAGCAGAGGTACAAAGAGGGTTAAAGTAGAGGGCCACAACCCAGGGTTTGATGGGCAGCATTGCCTGCAGCCCAAGAAATGCAAGTGGTGAGAGCAGAGGTGGCTGTGGCTTCCTGGTCCCTCAGCCTTGCTGAGCTGGGGGCCCTAGGTGACAGAGGACAGGAGCTGCAGCCCTTACAGACATCTTCGTGAGGGCAGAGTAACCACACAGGGAGTTGCCAGCAGTTCTGCTCAGAAATGCTTCGCACGGAGGACTTTACACCCTTAGACTTCCTTGTGGCTTACACATTAACAGCACTCCCGCCTCTGCAAAGTCCCACCAGCTGCTATCAAGCCAGGAGACTTTGATCCAAAGAAATAGCTTCCCTGTGTAGACTTCCTCTCATCAGCGACTTCAGGAGATTTAACCAATTCCCAGCCTCTTCGGTGGGCTCCCAGTGGAGGGACCACCACAGACAGCCCTTAGGGGTGCTACTCCAGCTCCACACAGGACAGGCATCTTCCCAGCTAGCTATGGAGATGTGACCACTGTGTTCGCTTCTTTTCTGCGTGCCAAAAAAAGCATCCCAGCTCCTTCCTTTTGTGGCAGGGGGCAGTCCCCAAAATCCACACCAGCACACCAAAGAGGTTCCCACCATCCCTCCCCATGGTGCTCTGAGGAAGGGCTCCAAAGGGCTCGGAGGAGAGGGCGGCCAACACATCCTCTCTAGATGACACAAGCTGTGAACAGTCCTCTGCAGGAGTGACAGAAGTAGCATCCCAGCTCCTTCCCTTCTCGTGGCTCTAGATTCAGCCCCAGCTGCGTGAACTGCACTAGTAAGACGTGGGAGCTCTCTGCAACCTCCCATCCAAGCTCCATCGAGACCCAAACCTTTCAGCTTGAGGAGCCATGCATATCAGGTTCAATAGCCCCATCTTCCCTAACCCTGGAGACACGGGCATGTTGTCCTCACAGGGAAGCATCACCCCTGCTGCCTTCTTCCCAGATAAGAGCTACGAGTCAGCAGACAGCGTCCCAGCTTTGGTTGAAGAAATTGGTGGTGTTCTGCCAGACTCAGGAGACCAGCACTCCCACAGCCCCCCTCCCTCCCAAGCCCTGCAGAGAGCAGCTGGGTGCAGCCACCCTGCTGCTGCACAGCCAGCTGGGAGACAGCTTCTGCCCTGCCCCAAAACCTCCTGAAGCAAGCAGAGGTAAGTGCTGATAAGCACTCCTTTCCCAGAGGTGTTTCCTATTATCAGGGGGTCATAAAGCCCAGCAGGCTGGGGAAATTTGTTTGCTGTTGAGGTCACTGATGCTGTTGGTGAAAGCTTCCCAGTTTGGGAAACCTCCCCAGAGCCAGCGGGAGAAGGTGCTGGGGTTGGTGGTTTCTGGCACTGGGTCTATTTCCCATCATGCTGCTGTGTCCCACCCGCAAAACACCTTCACGTCACCCTACTCCACCGCAGCCATCCCCCAGGGACAACACAGAGCCCAGAGCCCCTTTCTCAAAATATCGGCACGTCCCACTGCCTAGGAGAGGTTTCCCCTTCCAGCAGTTTACGTTGTCCCTTTGCAGGGACATGGGCAGTACAAAGACACTGTTTGCATAGCCACCATCAGGGTTAGTTAACTGAACTCACTTTAAGCCAGAGGGGAGGATAAAACGCTTCTAGGGCTCAAGAGATTACACCCCAAGACAGACCCTAAACTCAGCCAGAAAAATTCCATCCTACATGGCTGGCCGAGGTGACACAGGAATGTTGTGGCAGAGACAAGACCCTGGTCACAGGCCAGCACTTCCCACACGGACCAGAGAGAAACATCTCTCTCCCTGGGATTTATCCACCAATCCCACTGGCAGAGCGTGAGGCTGCCCAGGAGGGAGAGCAGCACGTGCCTGAGGGATGGGGAAAACTACCTGTGCAGAGAGCTATGTGCGGAGCCACAAGTACCACGGATGTGAGAATATGCAGGGAGGGAGACGGGCAGGAAAGCGGCACGAGCTGCTCAGAGAGGGGCCGTGAGATTTTATCAAGATAACATTAACCCCCCTCCTACAATGCTCAGCAGAGGTGTTCACCCCCCTTTTATTTGCCACTGGGAACAATAGTGGGAAACCAGGCAGCAACTCTGCCAGCGCTGGTGACTTCCTTCGTCTGCGGAGCTGAGCCTCTGCATGGTCAGATACCAGTCCTGTGCAGATGGCCTCTCTCCTGCAGGGGTATGTGCTCCTCATGTAGGAAGGGGCTGAGACTTTGGGGACCCCAGAACAGACAAAATTCTCCAGTGCCACTGGAGGTAGCGACTGGGATGACGAAAGGAGGGTGAAGGGGGCAGACTGATACTTCCCCGCAGACATCGCAAAGCAGAAAGCCTGGGGAAACAGTGGTATGATGGGAACGTAAATCCCTAAGAAAGAGGAAATCCGGCTAAAGGGCATCTTCAAAGGAGGTTGAGGGTCTGTGCAGTGAGGAAAATATAAGCAATGGTTGTGGAAGCAGGCAGCCACTGGTGCGAGGGACCCAGGAACCTTTCACCCCCAGAGAGATGACGCTATAATAGAGTACCTGCCTGGGAGTGCCTCTCCAGGGCCCCACAGAGATGTTCATCCTGGCCAGAGGGCAGTTAGCCTGTACTGGTTTGGGATGCCCATGTTCACACCGCTGGTACCAGAGGAGGCTTTGCTGCGTTCCCAGAGGGTGCCTTGGGACAGCAGAGACCCAATAAGCAGTCACTGGCGCAAGGGTGGGGACCGTGCCCGACTCGAGGGCAAGGCGAGCTTCCAACATGGAGCAGGCAGGCCTGCAATTTTGCATGGAGAAAACAAAACAAAAAAAATCATATTTTAAGGAGGGAAGAAGCCACTGCAACCATGTTGACTTTCAGCCAGAAGGGTGGCAGGGCAGGTCCTCTGCAGAATGCTTTCATCCCATGAAATGAGGCAGCTCCATCTGCAGAGGTCCTATAAGGCAGGGTTCGGTGTTAGCAGTCCTTCCCAGCCTTCCTGCTAGTCCTGGGGAGATCTCAGGCCACCAGGAGCACCCATGGGATCTCAGGACCCTCGGGGTGGCTCCAGACAGCAGGACTTCATGTACCACAGCCTAGAGCCACCACCGCTACCACAGGGCACCCACACAGCTGTTGAGAACTGACTTGAATGCCACCCTCCTCAGCAGGCTGCCAAGATCCTCAGCAGCATCATTGCTGGCAGCAGTATTCATTTTGTTTTCTTACTTGGGCAGGACCATAAGCCAGCTAGGTGTGAAGCCCTGAGGAAAACCACAGGCTTCCCCCACTTCCCAGCCAAGGTAGCCCAACTGCCCTAGCTGTGAGGGGTTTCACATGGCCTTTTGTGGCAGGGGGCAGCCCCCAAAATCCACACCAGCACACCAAAACGGTCCCTACCATCCTTCCAACGGTGCTCTGAGGAAGGGCTTCAAGGGACTCAGAGGACAGGGCAGCCAATGCATCCTCTCTAGATGACACAAGCTATGAATAGTCCCTCGCAGGAGCGACATGGGTCTTCATCAGATGTGACACTCAGCCCAGAAGAGAAGAGGGAGAGAGAGGAAGGCGAGGTGGCCGTGCTGGCTGTAGGAATGTCTCAAACCAAGCCCTGCGAGAAGAGGCAAGAGGTCCCCTTAGCACCCCAGCAAAAGGCTGTGGCTTCAGCTTGGTGCTAATTAGTGGCACCGGAGGAGGACACTGTGGGTGGAAAAGGTGTCTGTCCCATTGCATGCTCAAGGCACCAAGGAGCGTGTGCTGTGAACCAGGCATCAGCGTCTGCTCAAGGAAAAGGGAGCTGGAGAGAGCAACCGTGCATTCTTTCTCGGCATAGCAGCTGCTCACTCTGCTATTATTTCCTACTGCTTCATATAATTTGTACTCCACAGCAAGCTATTGTCCCTTTCCACTGGCTATTTATTTCCTTGAATAGCCTCTGGGGAAGGATTTCAGTGCGGGAGCAAAGAAAATAGAAAAACTCCACACAATAAATATCGAGCCGTGACCTGATTTAAACCATGTTCTCTGACCTCATCTGGGCCCTGGTTGTGGTTCCTCCCGGCAGTTGCGATTAAGCCACGTTTCTGACTCCGTCTCCCCCTTTTATGAAGCCTAGCAGGGAATGCTCCCTGCCTTAGAGGGCTGCGGGGTAGATTTCAAGAAGCTGAGCTCTGGATTTTCAGAGGCCAGAGCTCAGGACAGGACCAAGAAGAGGCGTCCATCACCTCCTCATGGAGTTTCTCAGTCCTCCTCCTACCAGTCACAAAAATTCCCAGAAAGGTTTGACAGGACCGGTTTGCCCTTCAGCCAAGAGGTGTTGGTGTGCCTCTCAGCAGATAGTGCTGCAACCTTCGCCCAGCCGATCCCTAAGCTCTGAAAGCCAGCCAGCTTCCTAATGGAGGAGGATGGAGAACAAAAAGTACTTACCTCAGCCAAACACTGAGGTAAGCAGGAGACTGGATAAGCAGGTCTGTGGATCTGGAGGGCGTGTACAGGAGAGGTTTGTTCGGGAGATGCAGAAGGAGCCAAGGCAATGATAAGCACAAGGAAACTGGTGCCCATGAGCACTAACCTCCTGCCTAAGAGGTTAACCAGAGTGGGACAGCTCCTCTAGGGAAGACATTGAAGTCTCCACGTTTGGATCAACTAAAATAGAAAGGAACAAAGGACCGGAGGTGAATCTCCTGCCACTCCGCATGCCCAAGCTGCCCGACAGTGTGTCATATGGAGCCCCTGTGGGATGGATGGAAGTAGCATCCATGCTCTGAACCTGGGGCCAAGGGATTAGAGGCCATCAGCCACTGGTAGGCTCTCCACCATAATCACCCCCTTCCTCCGTAGGGTGCAGTTTCTCTTCCTTAGCATGTGGTGAATAAGGAGGACAAAGGATAAAGCTAGCTGAAGAGCTAAAATGTGGAAAAAAGCCACCTTTCTCCAGGGCTAGGGGCAGCCATGGAGGGAACCTGCACCAAGTAGTGGAGCATATCAAGAGCACAGGGGAGGGCTGAAGCCTCGGACTCCATCTCTCTCCCTACCCCACCAGACAGGCAGTTGGTGCCACAGCGACTGGCATCTCCCTGCTCCATGGGGAGCTCAAACACACTCTGATGGGTGGTTTCCATCCCCAGGGCCAAGTTATGTCCTTATACCTTTGCAGGGGACCTCTCAGGCAGCTCTGAAGTCTGTGGCAACAGTTATGT